TTGAAAAAAACTTATTGTTAAAGAGGCAATTAAATTTTTGTAAAAAAAATAACGAAAAGCAAAATAAAAACAACTTTACAAAAACTAAAATTAAAACTTAACTAAGGTAAATAATAAACTATAATGATAAGATTATCTAAATTACATTTGGAATAAACTTTGAATGGTTTTAATATATAACTAAATATTTATAATAATATATAAAATAAATAACTTTTGGAATCTTTATTAATATTTTTATAATATAATATATGCAAAATCCTTTTTTAAATAACTGACTTTTAACAACATAAAACTGAAGATTGTTTAATAAACATATAAAAGTTTAAAAAAAGATTCTTAACAATTCTTTGCACAAAAGAAAAAACAATTAAATCAATTATTTAAAAAATTGATATAATTTTTTTTTAAATTAAAAAACATTTATAAAAAAAAAAAAATACTTATAAATATAAAAATATAAAAAATAAATATTATTCATTTTTGTTTTTTTAATAAATATAAAAAAATAAATGTTATTCATTATTGTTTTTATAAAATATCATTAGCAGTGATTTGTTACTTTATTTAAATGCGTTTCAATAATATAAAAATGTAAGTAAGGATCAAAGTTACTTAATTTAAATGGATTTCAAAAAAGTTTGTCTTTTTTTAAATAATTGTTATATAAAGTTTATTAAAGAGACTGTTGCTGTTTAAGTCGTCGCCTATAAAAGTGAAATTTTTTTAAAATTAATTTTTACTTTTTTTAATTTACTTGTAAAAAAACTTGTATAAAATTAAATAATATAAATAAAAATATATACAACTTTCTATGATACTTTAATTAAAATCATTAGCTACTTTATTTAAAAGCTTTTTGCTAATGTAAAAACGTGAGTAAAGACAAACGTTTCGAAGTTATTTATTTTCAACGTGATTAAAAAACAATTTTTTGAGCGCATTTGTTAAAATTGTGGTTGAATCATCAAAACTAAATATTTTCAAGGTCATATAATCGCACTTCCTGGCCAAGCCTGCTAACTCAAAGATTTATTTGAAAATTAATACTTTATAATTTTCCTTTGTTTTTATTTAGTTGCCTTGTTTATTGTTAAATTAAAAAAATCACTTTTTTTATTTCAGTTTTTTCTATAACTTATTTTTGCGAAATGGAGACAATAATTAAAAAGGCAGAAGACTTTGAAAATCTTCTTGGTTCCCACAAGGATAAATTGACAACAGAACAGAGCAGTTAACACTATTAATTCTGAGAGGTAAAGAAAAAATCCTGTGTTTTAAAAGACACATAAATTATAGCTGGGATAATTGCTTTTTCAAGACTTCAAAGTTTCCACTAGCCAGGGCATCACTTCTCCCAGTTCAGCAGAAGATACCTCATTTTGTGTCTCCAATAAAGACAAGGATTGACAGAGACTGTCAGTCTTGTGACAAAAGGAAACCTTGTAATAAAGCCTCACTTATGCAAAACAAAAAGCTAAAGACAATGGTCAAAAAAGTAAAAAAAAGAAAATAAAAATCAGTAAGACTTTTCAAGTTAAGAGAGTGAACCAACTAATTAAAAGAACCTCAAGTCAGATCTCAAAATATCAGTTGAAGACCCAAAAACTTGAAGTTGATGTTATATCTTCAAGAAAATCTTAGAAAAAGTTGAATCTTAAATGTCAAAGTTTGGTTAAAGGAAACAAAAATTCTAAGAAGAAGAGCCTGATATTTGAATTTACTATGTTAGATTTAGAAAAAAAGCTTAGAGCGCAAGACTTAGCATTAAAAGAAAATGATATTACCATAAACTGAACTGCAACATCAATCAGATTGAAAAAGGTTTAAGTTTTACAAAAGAAAAAAAAAAGTTTCAATGCCTCAGTGTGTCTAGTTGTTTACCATTATCTTGAAAGCAACGTGTCTGTTGATGCCATAACTAAAGTGATCATGTCATGTGCGACTTTTGGTAACCTTAGTTTGAAGCTTCAAGATCTGCCCATCTGTCAATGATTGCGCAGATGTCCAGAGAAATGGGAGTAATTGCTCTGCTACAAATGGCAAAAACAATAATAAATGCTGATGTTGTGACATTAGCATTTGATGCAACAACAATTAAGGGCAGCCATATAAATCAAATTCATTTTGCTACTAAGCAACAAATCCTAATAGCCAGCATCACTGAATTACCAGGAGGCAAGGCAGAAGACAATGTAAAACACATTAATGATACCATTGAGGATTTACCTAACATGCAGCATATTACAAATTGAAGATTGCTGATAAAAGGCAAAAACTAATGGGCAAAATACTGTCAACGCTGACAGACAGGGCCTCGGGTAACCATAGAGCCATTGTGAAGTCAAACAGCATACTTGAAAAAGAGCTGTTAGAGTTAAACTGTCACCTGCATCCACTTGATGGAATAACCAGTGAGACCAGGAAAGCTCTTCAAAGGCTGATACAATAACCAGTACCATGTCACTGTTTAAATTATGTATTTGATCTAAATAATGTAAACAAACTGCATATTTTTACTTTTTTTTATAAAACCAGAGTTTAATTGCTTGCTATATTTTAAGTCTGCATTATTGTATTTCAGATACAAGGCCAAAGGAGATCTGCATGGATTTAAATCTTTCATCAAGCATAGTGGATTATCTTGCAGTACTTTTTCAAGATATGTTTGCAACTTATTGCACATACTGTTTTGTTCAGCTGGCATACAGGTATAGACAATTGGTATTCAACTATCTAGTCCATGCACTTGATTTTCCAATAGCAAATGCATAAGTTGTTTTATTCTGTTTGACACTGTTTTTTGGCAGAGACAAGTACTGCAACAACACCACTTCAATGAGGACATCTCTACTAAGAGATTTCAAGAATGAGGAGATAATGACCCATCTACAAGCGCTTGAAATCTGTAGCAAATTATAAACTGGGCCCTTTTTTTTGCAGAGGAAAAACACAGAAACCATTTTGAATTGGTATGCAAGTTATTTTTATTCTCACAATGTAATTTAAACATATAATACATGTATTTATTTATGGTCTGAAAAAATAACTTCTAATAAGAAATAACTTCTTTTTAGCCTGAGTATCTTAAGTCTGCAATTAAGGTTGTGGAAAATCTTTGTGATGAGTTCAAATTTTTATTGTTGTCACAGTTAGATGCATTATGTTACCCACTGATAAGACATTGGTTGCATTACGCATTATTGAAGGGAAGTATTTGGAGTAACTGCTTTCTGTTTTAAAAATGATAGCTAATGCTACAGTGACAGTTTTAAAAAGGCAGCTGTCAAGATACTTGACTGGTGAACTCTCTACACCATCCCAGTCCTTGCAAGATAAGGCAGTTAACGCCCCTGTTTATAATATTTGGGCTGAGAAAACTCTCAGCATGATAGACTTTTTTACACGCAGGGCGCCCAATTCTGAAGGTTCATTTTTAGATGGCAAGCAAAGATTAAGGTGAATAAATCTCTGGACTGGCTGTGCAATAAAACAGCGCAAAAAGAAAAAGTTACAATTTGTATATTTAGGGGTGCAGTTTCAAGAAAATAAGGGAAAGAGAGAAGATTGAAAGGAGAAGAGTTAAGTTACAGTTAAAAAAAAAAGGTCAGAAGAGAGAAAGGGAACAGAGAAATAGATCAGCTATATATATATAAAAATTTATTTTAATTTTTACTGGAAAGGTTGTTAGTTTTAGAATTGCATATTGGAAAGAGGATAAAGAAGGTGATGCCAAAGACTTTAAAATACCAGCAGATGGCCTCTTAGCTGACATTGTTCTTGGTGATCTAGTTTTCTATTGATTCAGGTCCTGCATTTAGGTACTGGTATTTAAATATTAAGCAATTGTTTATAATAGTATTTTATTTTAGTTATGCATTTTATGTTTTTGTTCTTTTAAACTTATAATTTTTTATGATTAATTTTGTTTAACTTTAAATTGTGGTCAATTTTACTGCATTTTAAAAGATTTTCAATATTATATTAATAACTAATATTATTATGAGCCTTCTTTTAGCAGACTAATAATTTGTACCTTAAACATAAAGTTTATGAAACGAGTCATATACCTTAGAAAAATTAATCTTCTTTTGCACTTAGTTTGTGAACTATGAATTTTCAAAATGCACCTTCGTCAAAATTCATTCACCCCACTTTGTTTTTTGTATCTGATAAGATGAAAATAAACTATTTGATTCATAAAAAATGTGGTAAATACAACTCTTATAATGATGAACCACTGTTTTAAATTTTATTACATTATCTTAGTCTGTTTTTTAGTTATGCAGTTTTTAGTACAAGTAACACAAAATTTTAGTCACTGGTTATCTTAATTTTTAAATTATAGCAGAAATTATTCCATTTACATACGGAAAAAAGTCATAACTTCCGTCATAATTAACATAGTACAGACAAATGAGGTGTCATTGGAAAGCTCTTATTAAGATCTATGTAACATAAGTTTTGTAATTGTACTATTATATTGAAGTTTTGTAATTGTACTATTATATTGAAGTTTTGTAATTGTACTATTATATTGAATTTTTGTAATTGTACTATTATATTGAATTTTTTTACTAAAGTACCTAATAATAACATTATGCAAAAAAAAAAAAAATTGTAAAAATTTTGTAGTTAGTGAGCAATATGCATAGATACACATCTTATTTTGTTTGTTTTTATCAAAAATATGGTTTTAATAGTTAAATAGTTATTTGGTGTTCAAAAAAAGAGAGTTTACAGTTTTTTTGGTTTACAGTGTTACATTTTAACTATTAATTTGAAAAAATAACGAAGATTATAAAAGATTAAAATTTTAAGTTTATAAAAATAAAAGCATTTTTTTTTTGCCAAAATCGATTTTGATGCTGAGTATATATAACAAAAAAAAAAAAAGATCTACAACAAACAAAACAAATTTAAAAAACGTAACGAAAATCTCTACTATAAAAACGAAATTTGAAAAAATTTCATATAAAAATTCTTAAATTAAAATATACCTTGTTGAGTTTTGGATTTCTCAAAATGTCAAAACCTTTTATTGAAGGAATTTTGCTAGCATGAACTATTCCATCCTCTGTTATTTGGTACTCTTTTGTTGTCGGAATGGGAGTATTCCATCCCTCTTGAACATCATTACCAGGAGAATAAAATCGGTATTTACACCAAGTAGACCCTCCGGATAGATAAGTTGTGTTTTTTAGTAAACGTTGTAAATTAAGACCATAATTAAGAAATATAAACCTGTTCATTTTCACTTATTACAAAAATGAAAAATGAACGTCATCAATCATCTTAACATAAAAACATTCTAAAAACATCGGAATTATTTTTTTTTTTTTGAGTTTACGAAAAGTATGGAGCGCTGTTACAAAATTTAATAAATAATTTTTAAAAGCACTCCATCCTAATATAAGCCATCAATTAGCAGCGATTATGGAAGGAGTGCTTTTTAAAAATTAAAATATTATAAATGGAGTAACGGTCCATTTATATAGTTATTTTATTTTTAAATTCTAATTTATCTAGTTATAGGTACAGTGGAGTACATACATTTAGTCAATTTAGTCTATTTAACCATTCATTTATCAAATTAATTAAGGCGCAAGGTAGAAAAAAGCACCAAGACTATTCTAGATCCGAGATTAAAAAATTTCAGCAAAACATATAGAAAAACTCATAGTTGACTTTTTTACAGCAGTTTAATCGTTATTTAATTGTTCAATTAAAAGCTTAGGTTATATTTGAGAAAACTTTTTAAAATGTTACAAAATTTTTAAAATAAAAAAGTACCAAGTCTTTAAAAACTTCATTTGGCTTAAAGTGTTTGCTAATAATTTATTTGTTTACATTATAATAACGTATATTAATATTTTAGGAATATCAATTTTATATTAATTAGTTTTGTCAACTGGAAAGACGTTTATAATAACATAATTAGACGTTATTTCCTGTTACTTCAACATTAAAAAAAAAATTTAACATTTAAAAAATTTGTTCTAAGAAATTTCAAATCAATATTAATTAAATTTATCATTGAAAGGTCAATACCTCATTAATTTAACGTGGTAAAGCTCAGCAAACTTTAAATTGTACAACAATTTTTCTTAAAATAATATTTAGTTATTTAAGCATTTTAATGGCATACTTTTAGCAATTTCATTTTTTTGTTTTTGAATTAGAAAATCGACACCGCGTTTTTTTGTTAGACTATCAGTCATGTTTTCATTAAAAAAAAAATCACTGAATTGAATGGAAAAATATCTCTTTATTGAAATCCTGAGACTATATTTTCAGAAATACAGACTAAAAAGAACGCATTACCAACCAAGCTCGAAATGTCAGAGATTGCGGACGGTTCACCATAAAAGCATTTACAGAATGTTTATAAAAAGTTTTAAATGGTGCATAGACAGTTCAGTCTAAAGGTTATAACCTTTAGACTGAACTGTCTATGCACCATGCTTGTGACTGCAGTGAGGTGGTAATGTCAACATAAAATCTCCTTTTTGTTTTGCTAAATCGAGTGTACTAATAGACGGGTGTATTTCGTGATTGTCTAATATCAATTTTTGGGACAATCACGAGACTAAAAGAGAGGTTGCTTTTCTAAAGATTTTGTTTATGTCATTTAGTCTGACAAGTGAACTTTCCCAATTGTTCCTTTGGAGCATTGTGCACCATTGAGTCTTTGAAATACGCTCTTGGAAACAACATAAATAGAGGATTGTATATTCTTCAACATTTACTGCAGCACTTTGTAGAAGTAGTTTTTCCAGCTCCCTTATTTTTTTTGATTGGCAATAACTTTTACACTTTCCACTTTCTGTACTGTACATCAACCATAATCAGCATTATATATTTCATTAGGAATAAAATTATACGAAATTTACCAGAAACTAATAACATATTTATTAATGCAGACTTGACAATGGCTGAAAGACTTAAAATGAAAGCTTTAAAAGAAGAACGTGCTAAATTGAATGAAACTAATAAAGATTCACAATACTATTACGGAATTAGAAATGAAAGAGTTGTAAAACTGATAAAAAGATAGCAATTCATATCAAGTCAACCAGATCAGCTGCTATTTTCAAAAAATCTACTCTTTAAAAACTTGAACAAGTTTAATGAAAAGAAAAACGACAGACAACTAATAGATTTAAAAAACCAAGAGCTATTTAACCATCCAAAAAACAATTATTGTGGGAAATGGGAACTTACTAACATTTGCATTCTAGGTAATAAAATTGCTGATTTCCAACACTTTGTCCATTTACACAGTCTTGATATTTGTTGTGTTATGGAAACTTGGTTAAATAAAAATCTACCTGACAGTCTATTATGTCCTAGGTTTTACACTGTTCTTCGCTGTGACATAAGTAGTAAAGGTGGTGGAATAGCAATATTTTTTCGCAGTTTTATACAATTTACAAAGGTTGACATACCACCAGAGTTTCATGAGTTAGAAATTTAAACTCAATGACATTTGTTGATCCGATAATACCCTTTGTCATGATAAAGAAGAAATATCTTGTATTTTTAACAACTTTTTTGCAAGTGTTTTTACAGTCGATAATGTTTTATCACCAAAATTTACGGATCGTGTTAACATACATTTAACTTGTCTGTCATCTATTAATTTCTCTCCTTCTACAGTCGAAAAAACACTGAAAGCACTTAAACCCACCACACCTATTGGCCTAGATGGCATTCCCAATATTTTCCTAAAGAATTGTGCCAATAGTTTATCGATTCCCTTAAGCCATTTATTTAATACCTCATTTAAAGATGATGCTTTACCCCTAGACCGGAAAGTAGCAAGCGTTATTCTAATTCACAAAAAATGAACAACAGTTGACCCAGGTAGTTATAGACCCATCTCCTTGACATCTACTTGTTGTCGTGTAGTGGAAAGAATCATTAATAACAAACTGATTAATTATCTCTTACTCAATAACCTAATCACAAAAGAGCAACATGGTTTTATTCGTAATTGTAGTACCTGTACTAATATTCTAAAAAGTCTTCATGACTGGACTTTAAATCTTCAGCGCCGTATTCCAACAGATATTATTTATTTTGATTTTAAGAAAGCTTACGATTCAATTTCACATCCTAAGTTACTAATGAAATTGCCTGCTTATGGAATAGTTTGCAATCTTCTGAATTGGCTAGCTAATTTTCTGCACATGAGATCACAGGTGGTAAATTTAAACAATGTTACTTCCTATGCTATTTCTGTATAAATCGGTGTTCCACAGGGGAGCGTTCTTGGACATACTCTATTCTTATTGTTTATCAATGATGTGAGCCACATTAATAAGCAGCTTGATGTCAAACTTAAACTTTTTGCTGATGATATTAAATTATACTCAGTCTATGATGTCCGTGGCCTTCAGTCAGACCTTCACTCAGCTGTTAATCGTTTGTACGAATAGAGTTGTACTTGGCAACTCCAAATAGTAACTGAAAAATCCTTTGTCTGTACTATTGCTAACCAGAGTCAAAACATAACCCAGCATGTTTACACCATAAATAACGATGAACTTGCCATGTTAACTGTATAAGAGATCTTGGAGTTACCTTTGATAGAAATCTCAAATTCAATCAACATATCGTACATAAAGCTATGTCAAGAGCTTATCTTACTCTAAAATCTTTTTATTCACAAGATAGATTGCCGATTGTTAAAGTCTACTGTACTTATGTACAACCTATGCTTGAATATTGCTCTTCAGTATGGTCACCTTACACTATATGCCTGATGAATAAAATTAAGAAAGTGCAGCGTTTCTTTACTAAAAGAATTGCTGGTTTGTGGTCAGTTTAGCTATATTAAAGCTTAACACGTTAGAATATTGACGAGTGTTTAAAGATTTAGTTTTATGCTACAAAATTCTGGACAGTGGTCTATCAAATATTTTTATTCTCAATTTTTACTTGAATAATCGTGTTTAAATAACTTTAAACTGTACAAACACCATTGTAGTTTAAACAGCACTTAGTGTTTCCTTTCTAATTGAATTGTAAATGTATGGAATAGTTTATCGGAGAATGTGGTGTCTGCATCGTCTGTCTCGATGTTTAAGAACCGTCTTGCTGTATCGCTTTGTTCAAGTTAATACAATTTTGTTCTAACTTGTCCAGCACTTGATACAATTTAACATTACAGTAAAAAAATTGTTAATGTATACTCAGTGTTAGTGGCCTTCGGATCCTTTTGTTGTTTTCAAATAGATAAATAAATAACTTGTGTCCAATACTTTACCATGCATATTTTATATAAAAATGGTGGTTTAAAGATGAATATTTAAATCATTTAAAAATATTTTTGCATATATGAAATAAATATTTGATTGTAAAATTTACAATCAAAATCTTATTATAATTATGAAACTATAGTGTGGACCAGTATGTTTTGGTTTGCATAGTCAAAAGACAATGTTGTTTGTGTGAATGAAAATCCATCAAGTTAAATAAAGTGTGGTTTTGACAAAACTATACTTTATGGGCAAAACTTTTGTCCATTGTCCGAATCAAAATGTGAAATTTGCAGTAAAAAATTAAAATATAACACAATAGTTGGTTGGTATAAGTTTAAACTAAAATGTGATGAAACTACTGGTATTATAACCAGTTATATATAAACAATTATGACATACCTATATTTATGAGTAGTATTAAAAACCATTTAATGTTTATCAAATCTTATGTAAAGTATTTATTGTATTCTTTTTGTTAGGAATCGGTATAATAATATCAAGTAAAGTAAAAAATTATAATATAAACTGGATTGCAAACGTTAACATAACTCCAAAGTAAGTTGGTATTTTCGTTTTACCATTGTTTTTTTTATATATATTTTGCTGCATTATTAAAATAAAATAAAGATGTCTTGTACAGTAGAACAAAACGAAAATTTAAAGCTTTAGTTAAAATAGCAAAAAACAGACTAGTTAATGTAGGCTTTAATAATATAGGAGCTAAAGTATACAATAAAGTTATTTTTAAATATATCTACTTTTTTTTGTCATATGGATATAATGCTCATCCAGAGAGAAGAGCCAGCCAATGAAGATCTAAAGAAAAAAAAAGATTTTTTTTCAATGTATTGTTAATGTCGAACTGTTCAACTGCAATGGAGTTTAAATCAAAATAAACAAATAAAACACATTCTGGTAATGAAATCCATATGTCATTATATAAACATTATGAAAGTAACAAAGAATATAAATTATGACTTTTTTAATTAACTTTTAATTTTTTATTTAACTTAATTACTCTGCCATCATACATAATTATCTTGGATATGTCAATATTGTTCCATTTA